TATACAAATTTTTGTGAGGACCTATGTTTTCATTTCCTTTGGGTGAATACCTAGGAATAAAATGGTTGGATCATTTGAATAGCGTATGTTAAACATTTTTTTTTTTTTGCGTGGGCCTCTCACTGTCGTGGCCTCTCTTGTTGCGGAGCACAGGCTCCAGACGCACGGGCTCAATAGTTGTGGCTCATGGGCCCAGCTGCTCCGTGGCATGTGGGATCCTCCCAGACCAGGGCTCGAACCCGTGTCCCCTGCATTGGCAGGCAGATTCTCAACCACTGCGCCACCAGGGAAGCCCTATGTTAAACATTTTTAAGAAACTGCCAAACTGTTTAACATGGTTGCACTATTTTGCATTCCCACTAACTGTAGGGGCTCCATCTCCTTGTCAATACTTGGTAGGCCGTTCTTTTTAATTTTAGTTACTCTAATAGGTGTTGAATACTGACAGTAATATGTTTCCAAAGTCAAATCTACAAAATAAAGGAGTGGTAGTGTTGCAGTTTTAATTTGCATTTTCTGGTGACTTATAAGGTTGAACATCTTTTCATGTGCTTATTGGCCATTTGTATATCTTTGGTAAAGTGTGTGTTCAGATCTTTGCCTGATTTTTTTATTTGGTTATTTGTCTTTTTATTGGGTACTAATGTGGAAGAGTGTGTGTGTGTGTGTGTGTGTGTGTGTGTGTGTGAGAGAGAGAGAGAGAGAAGTCTTTTGTCTGTCTGACATATATCTTTGAATATTCTCTCCTGGACTGTGGCTTGCCTTTTTGTTTTATTGATTTATGTATTTATTTATTGGCCACACCATGCAGCATGTGGGATCTTAGTTCCCCAACCAAGGATTGAACTCGCTCCCCCTGCAGTGGAAGCACGGAGTCTTTAACCACTGCACCACCAGGGAAGTCCCTTGCCTTTTTGTTTTTAATGATGTCTTTTTTAAAAAAAAATTTTGTATCGAGATATAGCTGATTTATAATATTATGTAAGTTTCAGGTGTACAACATAGTGATTCACAATTTTTTTTTTTTTTTTTTTTTTTGCTGTACGTGGGCCTCTCACTGTTGTGGCCTCTCCCGTTGCGGAGTACAGGCTCCGGACGCGCAGGCTCAGCTGCCATGGCTCACGGGCCCAGCCGCTCCGTGGCATGTGGGATCTTCCCAGACCGGGGCACGAACCTGTGTCCCCTGCATCGGCAGGCAGACTCTCAACCACTGCGCCACCAGGGAAGCCCAATTCACAATTTTTAAAGATTATGCTACACTTACAGTTATTATAAATTGTTGGCTATATTCCCTGTGCTGTACAGTATATCCTTGTAGCTTATTTATTTTATGCATAGTAGTTTGTACCTTTAAGCCCGTGTCCCTCTCTTGCCCCTCGCCTTTCCCTCTCCCTACTGGTAACCACTGGTTCTCTATATCTGTGAGTCAGCTTCCTTTTTGTTATGTGCACTAGTTTGTTGTATTTTTTAGATTCCACATACAAGTGATATCATACATTGTCTTCCTCTAATTTCACTTAGCATGATGCTCTCCAAGTCCATCCATGTTGCTGCAAATGGCAAAATTTCATTCTTTTGATGGCTGAGTAGTATTTCATTGTATGTATGTGTGTGTGCGTGTGTGTGCATGTGTGTGTATGGACACTTAGGTTGCTTCCATATCTTGGCTATTGTAAATAATGCTGCTGTGAACATTGAGGTAGTACATGTATCCTTTCAAATTAGTGTGTTGTTTTCTTTGGATATGTACCCAGGAGTGGAATTGCTGGATATGATAGTTTTATTTTTAGTTTTTTAGGAACCTCTATATTGTTTTCCTCAGTGCCTGTAGAACTTACATTCCTACAAGGACTCCATTTTCTCTACATCCTCACTAACATTTGTTATTAGTGGTCTTTTTGATGATAGCCATTCTGACTGGTGTAAGGTGATATTTCATTGTGCTTTTGATTAGCATTTTTCTGATGATTAGCAGTGTTGATCATCTTTTCATGTGCCTGCTGGCCATCAGTATGTGTTCTTTGGAAAAATGTCTAGTCAGGTCTTCTGCTTTTAGGTTTAAGTAGGTCCCATTTGTTTATTTTTGCTTGTGTTTCCTTTGCCTTAGGAGACAGGTTCAAAAAAAAATATTGCTACGATTTATGTCAAAGAGTGTTCTGCCTATGTTTTCTTCTAGGAGTTTTGTAGTTTCTGGTCTTACATTTAGATCTTTAATGCATTTTGAGTTTATTTTTATATATTGTGTGAGAAAATGTTCTGATTTCATTCTTTTACGTGTAGCTGTCCAGTTTTCCCAGCACCATTTACCAAAGAGATTTTTCAACATTGTATATGCTTGCTTCCTTTGTCATAGATTAATTGACCTTAAGTATGTGAGTTTATTTCTGGGCTCTCTATTCTGTTCCATTGATCCATGTAACTTTTTCTGTCTGTCTGAAGTCAGGGAGCATGATTCCTCCAGCTCTGTTTTTTCTCAAGATTGTTTTGACTATTTGGGTCTTTTGTGTTTCCATACACATTTTAAAATTATTCTAGTTCTATGGCATTGGTATTTTGATAGGGGTTGCATTGAATCTATAGAGTATTATGGTCATTTTAACAATATTAATTCTTCCAATCCATGAACACAGTATATCTTTCCATGTGTTTGTGTTGTCTTCAATTTCTTTCATCCATGTCTTACAGGTTTCCAAGTATAGGTCTTTTAACTCCCTAGGTAGCTTTATTCCTAGGTATTTCTCTGACAGTGTGCTGTTAGTGTATAGAAATGCAACAAATTTCTGTGTGTTAATTTTATATCCTGCAACTTTACTGTATTCATTGATGAACTCTAGTAGTTTTTTGGTGGCATATTTAGGATTTTCTGTGTATAGTATCATGTAATCTGCAAACAGTGATGTCTTTTAAAGAGCAGAAATTTTAAATTTTTGTGAAGTGTACTTTATCCAATTTTTTTCTTTAATGGTTGTTCATACAGTGTTTTGTTTAAGAAACCTTTGCTTATCCCAAGATTGCAAAGATTTTTTTCTCTTATAAATATTTTTTTGAAGTCTTATAACTTTAGATCTTACATTTAGGTTTATGATCCATTTTGAGTTAATGTTTGTATATGATGTGAGGTAAGGGTCAATGTTCTTAAAACTTTCTACCTCATTTCATTCTTTTTTTGTTTTTTTTTTCTTTCTTAAAAGCTTATGGAAAAAGCGCATGCCTATAAGGTTTGCATTACAAAAACTGTTTCAGGGGAGACTGGAATGTACATATCTTGTTCCCCAGAATGACTCTGACTTCAATAATGCTGCCACAACCGTGAGTGGGGCTTTATTAAGTTGGCCACTGAAGGAGAGTCAGGTTTTGGCAAAACTATGGGAAAGTTCTTCATTAATTAAAATCAATTTTTAGATCAAAATACCTTGAAAACGTACATATTTGGTTTATAAAAGTACCCCCAAGGGATTTTTATTTGTGGTAGTAAGGAAGGGTGGTGTGTACAAAGGGTATGCACACTTAACGTCTGCTTTATGTATGTTAGTGATGTGATTTTCTTTTAGTTATCTGTAAGAAGGAAAAAGCAAACTGTAAAAGATGTATATGTCCATGCACATGGAGATAATTCCCATCTTATGAGCTAATGGGAGGAGGGAAGCAAGTGCTGAGTGGCTACAGATTGGGACAGAATGAGATATTTCCTGTTTATGACATCACCTGTCTTAGGGCACCTCTTCCTAAGTAATTAATTTGGATGACCCTTTTATGCCTAACTTTTTCTTAGCTAGATGTTATTCATGTGTTCCCATTTAGCCTCCCCCCAAGTTCAGTCTTTTTATCTGTAAAAATGAGGTGACCAAACTTGTTTGCTGTTTTCCAAACTCTTTTCATTCATGTGCCACCTTCATAACGTTAGCCATGTCTGTGTAGTATCCATAGCATTGTTCACTGGAGATTTTTCTTTAAATTGACTCCTCTTTTTATTTTTTATTTTTATTTATTTTTTTTGCGGTACGTGGGCCTCTCACCGCCGTGGCCTCTCCCGTTGCAGAGCACAGGCTCCGGACGCACAGGCTCACCCAGCCGCTCCACGGCATGTGGGATCTTCCCGGACCGGGGCACGAACCCGTGTCCCCTGCATTGGCGGGCGGACTCTCAACCACTGCGCCACCAGGGAAGCCCCTGACTCCTCTTTTTAAAAGGAAACCCTATGTCCCTACTCTCAGTGCAAAATGGTGTATGATAACATAAATAATGCATTGTAGATTATATCTGCCTGTGTATCATTTAAAATTATCTCATATGTGCCACTTGGGTATTATTACCACTCTGTGGGAAAACAGTCTACTCATTGATCTTGATGGTTCTTTTCTGGCTTTGACACTAGATAGCTTTTCTTTGCTCATATAATTGAGATACCTTGTTAGAATTTTCTTGTTTGTTGGCGTCTGCCATATGACAAACACTAGTTCAATTTAATAGTCAAAGTTTGAACAGCCATTTTTATAGACTTTTGCCATCTTAACCTGTCTGTCTTAGTTGATTAAAATTGTATACCTTGTTTTACATTTTCTAAAAAATTACTGTTCACAATAAACCTGTTATACTCTGGTGCTGAGCATTGGCTTAGAGGGAGAACTGCAAAACTGAAAAATTACATGGCTCAGTGAATTAAACAGAAATACAGTCATGAGATTAAATGGTAGAGGGGTGGGACCATCAGATTTTTCAGGCATGAGTTTTTGTGCTGCTTTTTAGATGAGATACAGAGAGTTGCGTTTAGAGTGCAGCTGATTTGTAACAATTAATCTTAATTAGTCTTTTAATTAAGATTTTAATTAATCTTTTAATTAATTAAAGTTAATTAATTTTAATTAGTCTTTTAATTAATCTTTTAAAATTTTTAATTAATTAATTATTTTAATTAATTTTAATTATTTTTAATTGATCTTTTAATTAATCTTGATTAATCTTTTTTTTTTTTCCCCAAACAACCTGATGTGTGCTTTTAGATTTCTTCAGAGGCCCCACAGTATCAAATGTCCGTCTGGCTGGTTTAGAGTATGTTCTGCACTTCACTGCACTGAATGGGAAGATTTACTTTCGAAGCTATAAGTAAGTGCATTTCTTAGCATGTTTTTGTTAATCCTCAGGGTTAGCATTTTAGTGTGACTGTTTTATAGAGCTCAGACTTAGAATTGGTGTCTGGCCAAAAGTTTATTTGGAGAGTTTTCAGAATAGCAGTGACAAAGTAGCTCTGTGCTGATCCTCAGGTCTGTCACTCCCCTGCTAACTTCTGCCTCCCGGAAACCCTGCTTTTCCAGGGCCCTGGGGCATCAAACAGTACACTCCCTCTGAGCTTAGAACGCTTATTCAGTCCTAACTTGCCATACTTTTATGCAGTATCTCCCTGTTTTTCTTGACTAAATTTAGAGCGCCAAGCCACAAGTCTTAGCCCAGCCAAAGCAAATCTCAAAGTCCTGAGTCTAAAAAATGGAGTCTGAAAGTAATAAGATTCAGTGGCTAGATTCATTTTACCTTCTTTCTCCAGCCCAGGCCTCTACCCATACCCCCACCACAATATAAATATAAATCCTAACAAGCACATTCTGTTTTCATAAAAACCTTAATGACATGCTGCAACTGCCTTTTGAGGTAAGCATGACTTGTTTTTTCCCTTATTTAAAATAAAGTGTTAGCGCTGATTGATGGAGCACACACTTTCCTAGAGAATACATTGACTCCCACTAACTGCCTCCCTTGGTACATTGAATTCAGCCTGACATCTGCTTCGCGCTGTGGCGTGGCAGTGCAGCCTGAGCGCCGGCAGCCCAGTGTTGACAGTGTCTTCGTGCAGTGGTGCCGTTTGTGCAACCATTCGTGGACTTCAGCATTTCATTCATGGTTTTAATTTTGTTTTTTTATCATAATGGAATACATGGTTGACCAGCTTGTGTCCAGTGAACATCTAAATGAACTAAGTAATCACCTCTTTTTTGTTAGTAATGTCCATCTTTGTCTCAACTGTATGGAGTCAGAGATGCTCGGTTCTTTTCACCACATGAGTGGTACCACCATTTCTATTTTTCTATTTTTTTCTCATTTAAATAATAACAGGCAAAGGATTTTATAATCATTTTTAACTAGTTGAGATTGAAAGTCCCTATAATCTGTTGTTTTCATTTCCAAACTTGATTTTGGGGCAGCTAAGAATATTATGAAGTAGGTGACTCCTATTTATAGAGCAAGAGATAAAAGATGAAAAATCACTAACATAAAAAAAAATCTTTTTGAAAACTTATGTTAAACAAGGAGACCCTGGGATACAAAGGAGCTAAAAAATAAAGATAAAAGTCTTTGAGAATGAGAAATGAATAATAAAAATCTAAAACTCATGGTGAACAATTTCAAAGGAAGTATTCTCTTGTATCAGAACTTGTATTTAGTGAAAAGAAAGATAAATTTGTAAAGAAAGAAAGAAAATACAGAGAAATAAAGCAAAATGGACAGAAAATTAGCAAATCAGTCTTAAGAACAAGGATAAATTGGCAGTGTAACTACACATATTCGTCCGTCCACTTACTTTAAGAAGTATGTAATTGCTGGAATCACTGTTAGGTTAGCATGGCATCTGCCATAATGAAAAAAAAAGATTTGAAATTTTTACGAAATTATTTTATTTATTTATGTATTTATGTATTTATTTTTGGCTGCATTGGGACTTAGCTGCGGCACTCAGGGTCTTCTTTGCACCATGCAGGATCTTTCAGTTGCAGCACGCAGGCTTCGCTAGTTTTGCATGGGCTCCAGAGTGCGTGGGCTCTGTAGTTTGTGGCACATGGGCTCTCTAGTTGAGGCCCATGGGCTTAGTAGTTGTGACAGGACTTAGTTGCCCTGTGGCATGTGGGATCTTAGTTCCCCTGACCAGGGATTGAACCTACGTCCCCTGCATTGGAAGGCAGGTTCTTAACCACCGGACCACCAGGGAAGTCCCAAGATCTGAATTTTTAAGATCAGAAACCCTATTGTAAAATTTTTTTTTTTTTTTTTTTTTTTGGTGTTCACGGGCCTCTCAGTGTTGTGGCCTCTCCCCTTGCGGAGCACAGGCTCCAGACGCGCAGGCTCAGCTGCCATGGCTCACGGGCCCAGCTGCTCCACGGCATGTGGGATCTTCACGGACCGGGGCACGAACCCGTGTTCCCTGCATCGGCAGGCGGACTCTCAACCACTGTGCCACTAGGGAAGCCCCCCTAATGTAAAATTTTTTTTTTTTTTTTCTAGTGTAAAATTTTAATCCCAGCTTTTCATATCTATATCCTGTAATACCTGCTAGCTATTGATTTGAAATAGAAAGTGGACAGTGTGATTGAGAGCAAGCTGCTACTGGGGAAAATCCCTAGATGTGGATTAGCTTAGCCTCCAAGGGCTGTGCTCTGCTTGGGAGAGGAAGGAAGAGGTGGTCCCAGGAATGAGCATCACCTCTGAGCCTAGTGACCTGGCTCTTTGCCAGGCTTTGCCACATGACATGGGCAAGTCACTTCTCAGGGCCCCTGTTTTTCCTTTGCAAAGTGTAGTAATATCATATAGGTAATTCTGAGGTCCCTCTGAGACGGATAATTCTCCTTTATGAGAGGGAGAGGGGTGCAGATAGAGGTGGGAATGTGCCATAGAAGTGTGTCTGACCTACTGTGGCTCCTCAGGCATTCTCAACAGGCTGCTCTTGGGTGTCCTGCCCTCTTCCAACCAGCCCTTAGGCAGTTGGTTAAAGGTAGTTAATATTGACGCTTATTAATTTGTGAAGATCAGTAAGGCTTATAAAATGGTTTTGAGCTTCTTGTATGAAAGGAACTCTGAGCATGGAATTACATTAATAGAACCTTTGACCTTTCCTGTTTGGGGGAAATAAATCATAGTGTTACTGGCACCTTCCTGTATATCCTATAATAATTAATTCCTTGGAGAATTTTATTTACTATAGGGCCAGAGCTATTAATATGAAACTGAAGATCTTTAGTAACTGCCACGTATGCCTTTGCCATGGCATTGGGTAGGTTTTATGGGGAGAAATATGCAAAACAGGAAGTATTAGCGTACCTTAAAAAGCAAACACAACATTCTAGGCAAGGAGTTAAGTAATGAAAACAGAATGTCAACAGAAGAGAGGGATATGGAAGGGAGAAAAATAAGGAAATTGCAATTTAAACAAGAGTGGTAATGCCAGTCTTTCTCAAGAAATAGGCAAGCACAGTCTCCGGACACGCAGGCCCAGCGGCCATGGCTCACAGGCCCAGCCGCTCTGCGGCACGTGGGATCCTTCCGGTCCAGGGCACGAACCTGCGCCCCCTGCATCGGCAGGCGGACTCTCAACCACTGCGCCACCAGGGAAGCCCGAATGTCACTTTTGATTTAGAGCTTATAGGGAAACAAAACAAACAAAGCTTGAGGTTAAGATCTGAAATGGAGATTTACATGGGTGTAAAGGTTCTGGGCAATAGTTCTTAACTTTCTGTGCGAGGGCTTTCTCTAGTTGTGGCAAGCGGGGGCCACTCTTCATCGCGGTGTGCGGGCCCCTCACTCTCGCGGCCTCTCTTGTTGTGGAGCACAGGCTCCAGACGCGCAGGCTCAGTAGTTGTGGCTCACGGGCTTAGTTGCTCCGTGGCATATGGGATCTTCCCAGACCGGGGCTCGAACCCGTGTGACCTGCATTAGCAGGCAGATTTTCAACCACTGTGCCACCAGGGAAGCCCAAGGCTGATCTTTTAAAAACATTATTATTTAGTCCTTTTTTTCCCCTGTATGGAGATCTGGCCACAGTAACAAATTGAGTCTTTTAACTCAAAAAAACCTTCAGGTCTTTGAGCAGTTCTTGTTGTATCTCTCACAAAAAAAGAATTTGTGACTCTCCCTTCCTCCCCATTGTATCCTTCATATGCTTTCAAATCCAGAGCTATTTGGACATATGGTATCTAGAAAGTATATTAAGTTCATTCCAATCTATAGAGATCAGTAAATGTCTATGCTATGGACAAAAGTTGATTCTGAATAGGTCTTAGAGAAATAAGAATTTGTTAATCAATCATGTAATATAATGTTTCAAAAACCCAATTAAGATTTTTTTATAATCATGTAAATCTTGCGTAAGATGAAGAAGTCAAATAAAAGGATTCCACTTCACTTCTTAGAACTATATCACCTGCTGTTTCTCAACAGTATTGCATACTCTTATGTTTTATTTTGAAAATAAGTAGACTAAAGAAAATACTTGGTCTTGGGGCTTCCCTGGTGGTTCAGTGGTTAAGAATCCGCCTGCCAATGCAGGGGACACGGGTTCGAGCCCTGGTGCGGGAAGATCCCACATGCCGCAGAGCAACTAAGCCCATGCACCACAGCTACTGAGCCTGCGAGCCACAACTATTGAGCCCACATGCCACAACTACTGAAGCCCATGCACCTAGAGCCTGTGCTCCGAAACAAGAGAAGCCACCGCAACGAGAAGCCACGCAGCGCAACAAAGAGTAGCCCCTGCTCGCTGCAACTAGAGAAAGCCCGCAAGCAGCAACGAAGGCCCAGTGCAGCCAAAAATAAATAAATAAAATAAATAAATTTATTTAAAAAAAATAAAAAGAAAACACTTGGTCTAAATATATAAAGTATTAAGCTTAGCCTTTCCTTTTTTTTTTTAATCTTTTTGGCCATGCTATGTGGTATCTGGGATATTAGTTCCCTGACTAGGGATAAAACCCATTCCCCCTGCATTGGGAGCGCAGAGCCTTAACCACTGGACTGCCAGGGAAGTCTGTAAGCTTAGCCTTTCTAAACATTTTATGATATTTTATGGAACTGTAATCTTCTAGAACAAAAATATTTGTGGGGAGGGCGGCGGGACTTTTATCAAAGTCAAAGCAACATTTCTTTTTTGCTATTTCATAAAGGTTGCTGTTGAAGAAATCTGGCTGCAGAACACCTCGGATTGAATTGGAGGAGATGGGACCCTCATTGGATCTGGTTCTGAGGAGGACACATCTAGCATCAGATGACCTTTATAAGTTATCTATGAAAATGCCCAAAGCCCTCAAGGTACATGGCTTGTAGCTTGGTGCCATGTTTATTTGTATATTCCATTCTTCTTTCCAAAAAAGGATTTGTGGCATATTATATTGAAGAGCATACATAAAGAGGTCAATAAAATAGATAAAATTAGACTCTCAGAGCCAAAGAAAGGAGGAAGAAGCAAATAAGCCAACCATAATTGATAATAAAATTGTAGAAACCAGGCATCAGGTGTTGCTGAGAGCTTCCTAGTAGTCAAGACTGCCAGTTTTCAGCAAAAATGGGGCTCATTTTAGGCATTGTGAAAATGTAATTTCAAGCATAGTATGTGTAACCCATACTTGCATAAAATGTGTTTTGACTTTTGAATGGTTTTAAAAAGCAAGTAGACATGGCATCTCTGGAATGCCAATAAAGATTGAAATGATAGTTATAATCCTTAAGCTAAACACAGGAAATTCTCTCAGTGCATGACAGTGATTAGTCTGTTGTGTTGCTTCTCAAAGTATGGTCTGACAGTTTACCTGAGAATTGTTAGAAATGCTGAATTTGCAGATCCCACCGGAGTCCTACTGAATTAGAATTGGCATTTTAACAAGCTCTGAGTGATCTGTTTATACCTAAGTTGGAGGAGAAAGGGCTGTAGGGCTATAGACTCTATATCATTAAAGGTGTGCTCACTAATGGAGATTGTTGATACGATAGTTGTTGTACACTAGATTTTTACCAGTTCATGGTAGTAGACCCAACTAAATATAATATATTCTTGTTTCATAGCCAAAGAAGAAGAAAAATGTCTCTCATGATACTTTTGGTACAACTTATGGAAGAATTCATATGCAGAAGCAAGACCTAAGCAAACTACAAACCAGGAAAATGAAGGGGTTGAAGAAGCGACCTGCAGAAAGGAAAGCAGAAGACCAGGAGAAAAAATCAAAGAGAATTAAAAAGGATTGATGGAATATAGCCAGTAACTGCATTTTTATTGTAGTCTTTACTTAGACTTATCAAGCATCAGTTATTTCAGAGTTTCTTGTAAGGTTTTATTGTATATTTTTATAACTTGATAATTTACCTAAATTATATATTATATACATTGTGAACAGTAACATACTAGTATTAGGTTGAAAGTTAGGCTCTTACTGGAGACATTACACCCTGGTATGCCGTTTTCTCTCTGTGATGTGACATTTCCCTCTGCCTACCCCATACAAAGTCTCCTATCTCGTTGGGTGGGTGAGTGAGGAGGGATCTCCAGAACAATCATTGGTATTTTAGAGAATTTTGGGTTAAGCTTTAGATAAAGGGAGGAAGTTATGGAAAGTAGCAATGCTCCAAAGTAACTGTATACATGCTCAGTATGAGCTACCTGGAAAGTTGACCCCATCTCCCAGCATATACATATAACCTGACTTTTATTTTTTTACTTTCCTGTTGTTTTACCTGAAATTCTACCAGTTAGAGATTAATTTTGAGATTTTAAGCTCTGTGTCTTAAAACAGATCTCTGAGATGTCCACTACCTGATCATTGACATGCTACCTTACTATTGATTAGTTTAAGAGATTCTGCTAATAAAGGAGCCCTATTCCTCTTCTTTGGGAGAAAGAAAGTTTTGATAAGGGTTGAAGTGAGAAAGGAGAGATTAGATAAGTTAAGACACACGACATTTTAGGGTACTGGGTAGCCGTAGGTAGCTAAAGGTCACATGAAGGCCCTGGGTGTTTGCATACAGAGTAGGAGTAAGCCAAAGCCAAACAGCTTATTTTGAAATTTCTTGAAGACTGGCCCTGTGCCTAGGAAAGTGGGGGAAAGCTTTCTGCTTCCTGCTTCTCGTACTGCAAACTTGCGTTCCCTAAATGTACAATTTAGTTTCCTTGACTGAGTCCCTGGCAAAGAGGCTCCTTTATACAAGCACAAGCCGATTATGCTGTAAAAGTACAAACATACATAAACCATGATGTGTTATGTAAAGTAGAAATGCTATTGTTTTCATTTCCATGTCAAGGAGCTCCTCCATGTCTATGTGTGCATGCATTTATGTGAGTTTGCTAAAAGCTAGAACCTCAATTTTAGTTTTTTTATCCTTTCCCTTCTCTTTTAAACCCATTCCTTAGCCTTCCTTCTCCCCAGCCCTTTCCTGGCTAATAGTCTCTTAAAAAAGAGGGAGCTGGTATCACTCATTTACACTTGTTACTTGATTATACATTTAACCAAAGACTACACGGTTTTAGATCGGAAGTAGGCATTTGCATTATATGTCTAAATGGGGAGAGAGGGCGAAATTAAAATGATTCATATCCTGCCATCTGCAAGTAGATGGACAATGGACAATAGTTGGGGAGAAGGGGCGTCATGAAAGGGGCATCAGAAATGATGGATGCAGGACTTCTCTGGTGGCGCAATTGTTAAGAACCTGTCTGCCAATGCAGGGGACACGGGTTCGAGCCCTGGTCCAGGAAGATCCCACATGCCGCGGAGAAATTAAGCCCATGCGCCACAACTACTGAGCCTGCTCTCTACAGCGTGTGAGCCACAAGTACTGAAGCCCACGCACCTTGAGCCCGTGCTTCGCAACAAGAGAAGCCACTGTAACGAGAAGCCCACACAGTGCAACGAAGAGTAGCCCCCACTGACCACAGCTAGAGAAAGCCGTGCACAGCAACAAAGATCCAACGCAGACCAAAAAAAAAAAAAAAAAAAGGAAATGATGGATGCATAGCCCTTACCCAATGTGTGACCCCTGGCTGGTCCAGCTAACAATAATGAAGGTAGGCAGATTCAGGAGGCAGAGCCATGGGTCCTTTCACCAGCCACTTACAGGAAGGACCCTGCCACGCTGTATGGCTGTTAGCATAACTGATGCCATCTTGGGCCTGTCCAGTTCCTCCCGTCCTTCAGCTGACCCTACCTAGGGCTGTACTGTGTAGTAAATCTCTGTTGTCAGGGGCTTTGTAGTTAATAGATGTTGTTTAATGACCATTAGGTCCAGGTGGCCCCTGTGCTGTTAGTCTCCAAACAATAATGAAGAGCTTCGCTGACGTATTCCTGGTGCCCATGAGACTAGTTACCCGTTCATAAATCTGGACTTTGGAATTCACTTCCTGTTTCCAAGCACGTACCCCCATACCCTGGGTTAACTATAAAATTCTCCCAGTGGCAGTTATGGATGCTTCTGGATGTCATCCACCCTATCCCACCCTGTGAGCAAACTGCATTATAATAAGCTGATCCACTGATTATATGGAGTGGCCTGCCTCATTTTTCGGTTTCAAGATCCTGTCTCAGTTTGGTGGGCCTCTTTCGTTCCCTTTGTATTTTTCCTATTTTTCAGGATGCTAATACTAATACCAAGCTATATATGATTTCATGAAATCTGATTCCTTTTAATAACTTAAATGCTGCTATTTGTTTTCTTGGTATTGAACATAATCCAAAGTAGAGATGTTATTATCCAAATCAATAAAGAAAGAGGGCAAAAAAGAACTTACCCCAAGTTAGTTTTCAATTATCTGATTATCTAGCTGCTTCTGATCTCTCCTTCCTTTCATTTATATTTTTAGCCACTTCTCCTCCCCCCTACCCAAGGGTGAGGCCAGGAAAGGATTCACAGAAGCTTTAAAATGGAAGAAGTTAAAATCACTAAAACCACTGCTAAATTTGACCAAGAAGAGAAGGTTTGTTTTTTAATGGAATTTCAGGTATCGGTACTTTGTCCATTATAAAATTAAGAGCCTGCAAAAATACAGGGTCTTCATCATGTCCTTAATGCACTTTTAATCATAGAAATGGTCAAAACATCCCATAATTGCATGAAAGGCACATATATCCTAGTATATATATACATTATGAAATTATATAGACTATTATTCACATCCCTTTAAATAAACTACTGTAAACAAGAAGATAAATTAGGCTTGCTGGCGTGAGGTTTATGCCAGCTGTGAGAAGAAAGTTAATTTGCTTTTAAATGTATGTTGTTTTCCTCTCATACCAACAACGCGAGTGGTTGAAGTTTAAAATCAGAGAAAATGACACTGAGTTTCCTGTAAGTGGACCATGTTAGGCCATGTTAGAAAGTTTGACTGCCTTGCTTGAACTGGAGCCATTTTGCAATTTTTCCAATTCAAAACCCTTAGGGAAAAAGTTTTAGAACATGGCCAACCATGTTCTAGATAACCAACATGCATTTTAATTTTGTTCTTGTTCTGCTGCGTCCTTTAAACAACTTCCCTCCTCCTTTCCCCAACGCATTCTCACCCCCCACCCCGACCCTTCACATTCTGAGCATCTGAAAATAGGTTCTAAACACAGGGAGAAAGGTCTGGCGCTGGGCAGGCACCTGCTACTTAGTGGGCTTGAGGCCTATATGAAAGAAGGTTAAAAAAAGGGAAATGGCAAAGCCTTTAGAACTCAGCAGTTAAGGCTTTTGCGAAGCAAAGATCAAAGCCCTTGAGCTTTTAAGTCTTTTACTGGATTGGGATTGATTCCTCAAGCTCAAAACAGGCTCAGCTAGAAGCAGAGTAGCAGGTGTTGGATCTGTGAGGCATGCCCTCTGGCTAAGCTGGAACCCAGAGCTGCAGAGGTGCTGGTTCTGGATGCCAGATCTGGGGAAAGGACCTGTAACCAGAGTCAGAGTTGAGCTTAAGCAGAGACTGTGTTCAGGGATCTCCTCTGTCCTTCTCAAACACTGCAAGTTAGCTCAGAAAGAGGTTCCTGGAGGGCAGAGCACAACCTGTTTAACGGGTGCATCTGGAATGGACTTGGAAGATTCACACCCATCAACTTGAGAAGTTTATTTTCTCAATCCCTTAGCTAGTTCCCCAGAGTCAGCTGACAAAGCAGATGGCAAGGTGACCTGAGTAGAGATATCACTTTAGATGACAACCTGCAACAGGGCCTCTGGCTTGGCACTCAGAGGCAGCCCTAGGGTTTATGGCACTGTGGGAAAGAGCAGGAGAATTCATTGCTGTCCCCTTAAGCCCCATTTCCATCCATTTGACTCACCACTTAAAGCTAGTCTGTGTCACAAATGTGTCTGAGTTTTATGCCCAGCACCTTCCTTTGCATAGGGAGACCTTGGGGAAGGATTAAACTGAATCTTGAAAAATCAATAAACAATGCTCAAGTGGCTAGGAGCTCCTCAAAAGTGGAATATGTGGGAGAGAGGGACAGCAGGTAGTGCAGTGTTGGGGCCGAAAGTTGTGGCCTTAAAAGAAACTGACAGGGCTTCCCTGGTGGCGCAGTGGTTAAAAGAATCTGCCAATGTAGGGAACACAGGTTCGAGCCCTGGTCCAGGAAGATCCCACATGCTGCGGAGCAACTAAGCCCGTGAACCACAACTACTGAACTTGTGCTCTAGAGGCCGTGAGCCAGAACTACTGAGCCCATGTGCCACAACTACTGAAGCCCGTGCACCTAGAGCCCATGCTCTGCAACAAGAGAAACCACTGCAATGGGAAGCCCGCACACTGCAATGAAGAATATCCCCCACTCGCCACAACAGAAAAAGCCCACGTGCAGCAACGAAGACCCAATGCTGCCAAAAATAAATAAATATTAAAAAAGAAAGAAAAAGAAACTGACATCCTCTCCTGATGCTCTCTGAGCCCTCAGCTAAGACTTAAAAGGACAAGGACCCAATTAAGACAGGCAAAACCATTGGCAATACCAATTAGTGGTATGGTTCTCTAAGTAATGTTAGAAGTGTTAGCTCCCAGCGTTTTTTGAGAAATGCAAAGAAAATAAATGAGGCTTTATTTTGTTTTGTGGTAGTAGTAGTAGTAGTATGACAAATAATTTTTTTAAAGGGGGCCTGATAAGGCAAATGGTACAATGCTAGCTGACAGAATTCTTATCTGATTTCCATGCTTAGAAACTGAGAAGAGCAGAGCCACCATGGTTGAGGAGTGGTGCTCCATAGTCCTATCCTAACCTCAAGGTGCGTGAGATGTGGTATGGAAAGCACCAGGCTGATTGAAATGACTTGGAGTCTTAATCCCAGGAAAGGACAATCAGCTAATCTTGAAGGAATTGTGAGGAAGCAGAGTGAGGTAGAGATTTGGTCCTGGCAACATTTTGGGAAAAATCATTACATAGGTGGCTTGTGAGCTCTTACTTAGACATGAACGTAGTCATTGCTAAGAGCCACCATGGGTTCCCTGGGAGCTAAGAGTGTCAACTGATCACATTCCTGTTTTGAAAGGAGTCCTTCCCTGATAGATAGGGGAGTAGTCATTCACTCCACATTTATCAAGCTTTCTGTTTCAGGCATTGTGTATATTTACAATTTAGAAAGCATTTTCTTTAAAATACAATTTTGGGAATTCCCTGGTGGTCCAGTGGTTAGGATGCTGTGCTTCCACAGCAGGGGGCCCGGGTCTGATCCCTGGTCAGGGAACTAGGCTCCCACAAGCTGGGCAGCCTGGCCATAAATGAATGAATGAATGAATAAATAAATACAATTTTGATTTTTTTCCTGATTATAAAAAACAAATCATTTTTCTGATTTTTTTTTGGGGGGGTTGCTGTGTGTCATGTGGGATCTTAGTTCCCTGACCAGGGATCGAACCCACACCCCCTGCATTGGAAGTGCAGAGTCTTAACCACTGGACCACCAGGGAAGTCCCTCATTTTTCTGATTATTGAAGAGAAACTTGCAGAGAAGAAATAAAATTATGTGTAATCTTACAAACCAGAATACCACTATTAACATTTTGCTGTATTTTTTACCACTTTAAAAATACAGGTTCTTAAAATAAGAACATGATCTTACTATATTATTTGGAGTTCTGCTTTAAAAAAAAAAAGTAAACTTTTTAAAGTTAAAAATTTTAAACTAATACCACAAATGGGGAAGTGTTCAGATGAGTAAATGCAATGCATTTTTACAAAGTGAATGTACTGTTATAACCATTATCCAGATAAAGAAATAGAAATATTGTCAAGACCTACAGAAACCCTTTGTACCGCCTTCAGTCATGAGCCAGTTAACTACTAGGTACCCTGCTCTTAAAATCAATATTAAATTGTAAGCATTTTCCTGTCATTAATTTTTTTTGAAAACACTATTTTTGATAGCTACACAATACTTGGTTATATGGATGTGTTAAAATTTTGTCATTCTACTATTGGGCATTAATGTCAATTCCTTTTGGCATTGTTACATGTAATGTGATGTATATCCTTTCAGAGAAATATTTTTAGAAAATATTTTCACATGTTGATTTTATTTGACATTTAAAATAACCTGTGAGATGTATAGTGCAGCTGGTATTATATATAATTAGGCTCAGAAAGATTAACTTGTCTGAAGTTACACAGCTAAAGAGCTAAAGCTGGACGTAGAACTTCTGTTTTCTAATTCCTAGTTGCGTAGATTCTCAACAGGACATCTAAGTCTCAAGGTATTCTTGTGACTCAAATGGGGAAAGGTGATATAACTAAAAAAGCAGTTAGGCTAATGCAAAACGATTGGAAGGACTAGTATACCCAAAGAGTGTTGATGAATGATGCATAAATCTGTGGTATCTACAAAGGAAATCTTTATTGGCAAGCCTCAGGGCTCTGTCCTTGACTTCCCACCAGGGAAGCCCTGTCCTTGACTTTTGTTCCTTAAATAAGTTTATCTTCCACTTGAATGAAGGCAGGACACATTTGTTAAATTTGTGGATGACAAAGCAGTGAGAATATTAGAGGACATAAATGTAAAATATCTTAACAGGCTTGAAAGGTGGACTGAAGCCAAAAGGAGAAATTTAGTAAGATAAATGAAAAGTTCAGTACTTAGAGGGGAAAATGTGAACATTTTTAGAATAAGGGAAGTGTAGATCTACAGTTGGGAAATGACCCAGGGGACAAACCCTATGTCAGTGATCAGTGTGAGCAGACTTCCAGAAAGGTCCACAGAAATTTAAGCTGCACTGACAGAAGTAGAACATTCAGGTTGACTGAAATAGAATACATGAGATAGACAAGAAAGTCTGAAAACAGCAAAGCCTGATATGAATATACAGTAATAAAAAAGTGGAGGAACAGAGGCCCATTGTACTCTAATCTGCTCAAACCACATCTGCAGTATTTGTCCCAGTTCTGGGCACACCCTTGGAGGAACTTGAGCTCCCTGGACTGTGTTCAGAAGATGGTGATGAAGGTAATGAAAAATCTCCAAACCTTGCCAGATCAGGCAGAAATGGTTTACCAGGGGGGAGAAAGGCAGTCATTGAACAAAATTTGTTTTTATCAGCTTAATTGGAATATAATTTATGTACACTAAAGTACATCCACTTAGAGTGTATGATTTGGTGAATTTTGACATTTGTATAAACCCATGAAAACACTAGCACGATAAAGATGGGAACATTTTCATTACTCTGAAAGGATTCCTTATGCCTCTTTGTAGTCCATTCTCCTTCTACCCCAAGGCTTAGGCAACCACTGATCTGCTTTCTGTCACTATAGATGAATTAATATTTTCTAGAATTGTATATACATGGAACAGAAGAGCAGAACTCTTGTGATTGGCCTCTTGCACTCGGTCTGAAGATTTTGAGGTTTGCACATCTTGCTTCATCTATCCGTAGTTCGTTACTGGATGGTATGTCATCATATGGATGTACCACATTTTGTTTATCTATTTATCTGATTTTGGACGTTTGAGTTGTTTCCAGTTTGGGGCCATTATGGAAAAAGCTGCTATGTACAGTCATGTTACAAGTTTTTGTGTGAACACATGTTTTCATTTCTTTTGGGTAGATGCCTAGGAATGGAATGGCTGGGTCCTGTTGAACACTCAGTTCCACTAGGAACTTTATGAACAAGAGGAACAGGTTCCTAGACTCACTTTCTAGGGGGGAAAGAGGCAGTAAAACATGTCAACAAATGGTAAGTTCAGAAAGTGATAAATGATATAAGGATAGTAAAAGAGTTGCTGAAAGTGACTAAGAAGGGTTTATCTTAACTAGAATGATGAAGGAAGATCTCTCTGTAGAGCTGACATTTAAGTTGAGCCGAGTCCCGAATGGGACTTGGGCTCCAGAGTGTGTGGGCTCAGTAGTTGTGGCATGTGGGATCTTAGTTCTCCAATGTATGAAGCAATGTATGAAGGTTTGAGGGAGCACATTCCAGGAACTGGGAACTTTAAGAGCAAAGTCCTTGAGAAAGGATGGAGTTTGACTTAAGAAGGATGTAATAGTTGTCTCCAGAGGTTCAAAAAACAACCAGAAGGAAAAGGGATTACATTTATTTTAGAGGCATAAATATGACCAGCGAGCAGACATTAGGTAGAGAAGAGCTTGGGTTCAGTTGAAACTTTTCATAGTGGGATGTTTGGGGGTAGGAAAAGGACCAAGTTTTAAGTCCTTTTCTGTTGTAGAGGTTTTCTTTTCGTTCTTTATTTCTTTTTGTTATTGTTCTTAAGACCTTTCCTACTAATATGAATAACAACTACAACTAGATGGACATGGAACTAACTAGGGACTTTGGTCTCTAGTTAGAGACCAAATAAGTGGTCTTACTTGACCACTTATAATAAGTGAATTATTGAGCAGATATAAATCCAGCTTAAAAACTAATTACACTGGCTTGTGGCAGCCAAGTGTTAAGGAAAAAAAGAAAAAAAAACTGCAGTAACTTGCGCTAATTTGTAAGGCAACTGATAGAAAAAAATTTCATTTTTCTACTAATTTTGGGCTTAACAATAGGCACTCAGAAAACATTCAAGTGTTCCTTGAGAGGCCAGAAAAAGAAGGATGCATTATCTTCTTTCAGTTAAGTGACACCTTCTATGGTTAGTGTACAAGGAAGTGTGAGGACATGTTAATAAAAATAGAGATAATCCTTCAGCGTTTACCTACATCTGTCCATTTAAAAATAATAATAGTGATTTGAAATTAAATGATGTCTACCAACATATTAATGCAGATAAAAGATGCAGTCTTTTTGAAAATGTATTAGAAGACTAAATTATATAATTATTTTTAATTATTGTGCAAACTTAAGAACAATAAAGGAACAGAAGAAGGAGGAGAAGGAAGGAAAGGAAGAGGAGGAAGGCAGAGAGGAGTAGAAAACCATCTATTTCACTGACTTAAGAAACTGCTGCTTTCATCCTTCCATGATATCCTCAGTCCTTGTCTAGATGCTTCTGTAATCATCAGGTAAGAGTGCAGGCATGTTTTTAGTACTATACGGCTTTGTGTCATATCAATTCAATAAAGCATATCATCAATTATTGATTCCTTACATGAATGAACAATATAGGGTCATCAGCAGGAGGATTTCTTGCCAGCTTCTTTGCTATGGGAAGGGTGCATAAAGGATAGGGGTAAGACAAAACTCTCTTAAGACAGGGCTCCTCAAGCTGTGGTCCCATCACCTCTAGGGGATGTGGTATGACCTACTTTTCCAGCCCTTGTCATTCTCAGGGTCCTCAATTTGTGCAAGAAGACAGTTCATTTACCAGTAGCAGAGGACAGCTGTTCTCCATGAACTTGTCAGAGAGTATAATCTTTATTGGGACATATTCATGTGTCATAAAATTCACCATTTTAAAGTGTATGTATCAGTGGTTTCAGTATATTCAGAGAGTTGTACAACCTTCAGAGCATTTTTATCACCTTGAGAAGAAGTACCATATCCATTAGCAGTCACTCCTCATTCTTCCCTCCTCTGACTAATCCACTTTCTATCTCCATGGATTTGCCTATCCTGGATATTTCATTTAAGTGGAGTGGTACAATGTGTGGTCTTTTGTGACTGGCTTTCATTTAGTGTAATATTTTCAAGGTTCATCCATGTTGCAGCATGTGTAAGTACTTTACTCCTTTTTATGGCTGAATAATATTCCTTTGTATGGATATACCAGGGTATAATCTTTTTTTTAAATATTTTTATTTATGTCTTTTTTCTTTCTTTTTTTTTTGTGGTACACAGACCTCTTACTGTTGTGGCCTCTCCCCTTGCGGAGCACAGGCTCCGGACGCGCAGGCTCAGTGGCCATGGCTCATGGGCCCAGCCGCTCCGCGGCATGTGGGATCTTCCCGGACCGGGGCATGAACCCACGTCTCCTGCATCTGCAGGCGGACTCTCAACCACTGCGCCACCAGGGAAGCCCTAATATTTATTTTTATTTTTAAATTTTTGGCTGCTTCACTTCTCCATTGCAGCACATGGGATCTTTCGTTTCTGCACGCAAGCTTCTCTCTAGTTGTGGCACTCAGGCTCCAGAGTGTGCGGGCTCAGTAGTTGTGGCATGTGGGATCTTAGTTCTCCAACCAGGGATTGAACCTGCGTCCCCAGCATTGGAAGGTGGATTCTTAACCACTGGACCACCAGGGGAGTCCCCAGAGAGTATAGTCTTGAACTCACTCTCACTCAGTATTCAACAGTTAGGCCCTTGGAAAAATGGGTGAAGTACTGAAATATATATGAAAAACAATGCTCTGTATGGAATTGTGCTGCAAAGGTCAAACAATGATATGAAAATTGTCTAATCAAGTTATCAAACAAATATGTTAATAAAGTTACACATCTCTAAAATGGAAGTTTGATTCACTCATATTTGTAAAAACAATATAAATTGCATAACTCTTCATAATTTTTTGTTTTATTTTTTAAGAGAATATCCGAATCAAATCTTTCCTTCCCCACCCCACATACTATTTACTATGAAATGTTGGCTCCTGTTTTAAATGGATTTCTTTTAAACAACTTTTTTCCAATACTGATTATCTCCAACTTCAAAAGCTAACAGTGATCATTTCTAGGTGGTAAAATTATGGGAGATTTTGATTTTCTCTTTTCATTTGTCTCTGGTTTTCTCAACAAACACGCATTATATTTTTAAATAAGAGGGGAACGAAAGAGAAAAACAGACAAAAAAACAGGCTGAAAGAAACAGTTATGGAAGTTCTCCTGAAAGATGTGTAGTCTGTCCATTTCTCCAGAGTACGTTCCTGGAGTAAGCCAGAGGGCACTGAATTGCATTTTCTTTAGTGCGCTACCCTGTGTTAAAGAGTATTCTAAAAACATCCTTAAGTTGTTGCATTTCTTGAAGGATATCACTGAGACTATCACTTACCACATCTTACAGGATATACTCTGAACATCTGTCTTAGTCTCTTCAGTCTTGGTACCAGAAATAGTAGTGCTTCTTCCAAGGAAGTAGCTTGCTTTTTTCTAAAAAGTACTTAGTGTTAATTTTTTAAACAGTTTTATTGAGCTATAACTCATATACCATACAATTCATCCATTTAAAATGTATGATTCAATGGCTTTAGAATATTCATAGAGTTGTGCAACTATCACTACATTCAATTTTATAACATTTTCATTATCCCAAAAGAAACCTTTCTCCTCTTAGCCATCATCCTCCAGTTCCCCTCTCCTTCCCTAGTCCTAGATGACTACTAACCTATTTGCTCTATGGATTGCCTAATCTGGACATTTCATATAAATGGAATAATATGAAATAGGATCCTTTTTCACTTAGCATAATGTTTTCAAGACTCATCCATTTTGTACAATGTATCAGTACTTCATTAATTTTTTGATTGTCAAGTAATATTCCACTGTATGGATATGCCACTTTTTATTTATCCATTCTTCTATTGATGGCCATTTGGATTATTTTCAGCATTTGGCTATTGTAAGCAACGCTGCTATGAATGTTTATGTACATGTTTTTGTTTGAATACCTGTTTTTAATTCTTTTGGGTGTATAACTAGGGGAAGAATAAATGAATTATGTGGTAATTCTATGTTCCAATTTCTCCACATTCTTACCAAAACTCGTTATTTTTCATTTTCCTAATGGATATTAAATGGTATCTCATTCTGTGTTTTTGTCTTTTATGTTATTTACTGGCAAAGAAAGATATTTCTTTGCCAGTAAATAACAGGTTGCGGGACTTCCCTGGTGGCACAGTGGTTGAGAATCCATCTGCCAATGCAGGGGACATGGGTTCGAGCCCTGGTCCGGGAAGATCGCACATGCCGCAGAGCAACTAAGCCTGTGAGCCACAACCCCTGAGCCTGCACTCTAGAGCCCATAAGCCACAACTACTGACCCTGCATGCTGCAACTACTGAAGCCTGCATGCCTAGAGCCTGTTATCCGCACAAAAGAAGCCACCGCAATGAGAAGCCCATGCACTGCAACAAGAGTAGCCCCTGTTCGCCACAACTAGAGAAAGCCCCCATGCAGCAAAGGAGACCCAATGCAGCCAAAAATTTAAAAAAATAATAATAATAATTTTTTATAAACAACAGGTTGCCATAAGCTGTTTTCAGACAGATTTGCTTTTCATTGTGGTTTTGATATGCATGATCAGTGATGTTAAACATCTTTTTATGTGCTTATTGGCTATTTGTAAATCTTCCTTGCAGAAATATCTATTCAGATCCTTTCCTCATATTACAATTGGGTTGTCTTTTTATTACTAAGTTGTATGGGTTCTTTAGATATTCTAGAAACAAGTCCCCTATTATATACATGACTTGTAAATATTTCCTCCTATCCTGTGAGTTGTCTTTTCATTTTCTTTTTTTTTTTTTTTTTTTTTTTTT